AATGCAGATGAAGCAGAAGAAAATGACCTTAAAAATAACTTTATGAAGATGACTGAGGCCCTTAAAGAGGAAATGAGGAGCTCCCTTAAAGAAATGGAGGAAAAGACAAATAAAAAAATGGGGAGAAATTAATAAATAAGTTAAGAAACCAGGCATAGGTGCACACCTGTAACCCCAGCACTTGGGACTCTGTGACAGGTGGAGAATCCAAGGCCAGCCTCAACAACAAAATAAGGCTAAGCAAGTACTCTCAGAATCTTGCCCCTGGTCTCTTTTGTGTCTCCCGTCTTTTCTTCAGCAAATTAAATCTTTCATGTTTTCCCCTCTGAAGTCTAAACAAACAATTTGAGTTGATTTATAATTAGAGAGTTTGTTTTGGGGCTGGCAAGATGGCTCAGCTGGTTAAGGGACTTGCCACCAAACCTTATCACTTGAGTTTTATCCCAGAACCCACACAGTAGAAGGAGAGAACAGGCCTCTTCAAGTTGTCCTCTGACCTCCACACACATGCCATGGTACATATGTGCCCCTGGGGAAGAGTTAATAAACAGAACACTTTGTTAGAAAACAAGAATTTATCTTTGTGTTGTCCTCTCTACTTTTCTACTGAATACTACAGATTTTCATTTGGTAAAAATAATGTCTCTTTATTCCCAATAAGTGTTCATATCGTTCATTCATGTGTTCCAGTAGACTTTTTTTGTTATTTTGGTGTTGTTAACAGGGTCTTGCTCTATAGCCCAGGTTGGCCTTGATTTCTAAGCTTGCTGTGATCCTTCTGTCTCTGCCTCCTGAGTGCTGGGATTACAGGCTTGAGTAATCCACACCCAGCCCCTGGCCATAGATACTCTTAGGTCACAGCCTCTTAATTCCATGAAAACATCACTGACGATGACAAGGAAAAAGCCCCCAAGTTTGTCCCCCCATGTGTATGTGTGTGCATTATTCTTTTCCCCTTTTTGATTGTTAGTTTGTCCTTTCCCTTTGGGTTAATGTCAATATTCTGATTATTTCTGTAACTCACAAGGAATGTTCACTGCTATCTAGGGACCAAACTAGGAATGAGTAAAACCTTCCAAAGAGAAAAACACATGAGGTTTTTTTTAACCTGACATCGGTTCTGTAAAAACTTCCTCACTCTCTTATTTGCATTGAGGAAACAAATGACTTCTTGCAAGGATCTTAATATAGGACAAGAGATTAACTATGAACACACAGGAAGAGAACAATCCAGAAGATATTTACTAAGCATTTGTGTTACTGTGGTCAAGGAAAAAGGTAGCTATTACCAGGCACTGTGCTACATGGTTTATCAAAGTACAACTTAATATAAAAGTAAAGACACAGGTGGATGCAGGAAGATCCTGAGTTTGAGGGCAGCCTCAGCTTCATAGTGAGATTCTGTCCTCCCAAAGACAGGAAGGAGGGAGAGGGAGGAAGGGAGGGAGCAACGGAGGGATGGAAGGAAAGTGGGGCTCATCAACTATGGTCAATATTTGCAGAGGAGCTGAGGAGTGGAAGTGGAGGACCTGAGTCAGCCCCTTGCTGACAGAACAGCCATCTTTTCTTGGTCTCCATATTGTTGGTGTCCATGAACAAGTGTGAGATGTGGGACTGGAGCAGTTCCGGGGATGGGGAGCCTGCCGCCCTCTTCTGGCCTCTGTGGATTCCTTCCTGCATGTGGTACACATAAACCCACACACAAACACATCAGTAATTTCCCTTAAATCTTTAAAAGCAGTGTGCGATACCCAGAGTGTTCAATGGAATGGCTATGTACATTTGGGGCATTGCTTCTCGAAAGAGGTGGGAGAGCTGCCATTAAAATCTTCCCATTCATACAGAGCCCTTCTGTGTATTGGGATTTATTGTATGGTCCTTGGTGAAGGAGTGCACAAGAACCACTGGGGCCCCTTCACCGTCACTGCTTGAAGTGTTTCTGACCCACCAGGTTCCTCACAGCAGCCCTCACATCCTTGTTCCTTAGGCTGTAGATGATGGGGTTCAGCATGGGGGTCACCACCCCATAGAAGAGGGAGATGAGCTTGTCTGCAAGGTCCTGCTTGTCTGCCCCCAGTGGGTCCTTGGACTTGGGCTTCCCATACATGAAGAGGATGGTCCCATAGAAGACGACCACCACAGTGAGGTGGGCAGAGCAGGTGGAGAAGGCCTTCCTCCTCCCCTCAGCAGAGGGGATCCTCAGGATGGTCACAAGGATGAAGATGTAGGAGACAAAAATAAAGAGGACTGGGACTCCCAAAAACATCACATTAGCCACCCCCATGCTGATGACATTGATGGAGATGTCAGCACAGGCCAATTTCAGGACAGCCAGGAACTCACATTGGAAGTGATTAATGACATTGTCCCCACAGAAAGGCAGCCTCATTGCCAAAGATGTCTGCACTGTGGATGTGATGCTTCCAGCCACCCAGGAACTTATGGCCATGGACATGTAGGCAGCCTTGCTCATGACCACTGGGTACCTGAGGGGGTTGCAGATGGCCACGTAACGATCAAACGCCATCATACTCAGGAGCACACACTCTGTGGCCCCCATGGCAAAGGAGAGAGACATCTGCACAGCACAGCCTGAGAAGGAGATGGTCTTCCTGGGGGTCAGGAAACCATCCAGAACGAGGGGGACCGAGGATGTGGTGTAGCAGATGTCCAGGAAGGAGAGGTTCCCCAGGAAGAAGTACATGGGCGTGTGCAGGTGGGTGTCGAGGATGGTGACCAGGATGAGGACCCCGTTGCCCAGCAGGATCACCAGGTACATCAGCAGGATGAGCACAAAGAAGGTTTTCTCCAGCTTTGGGTGGGTGGAGAGGCCCAGGAGAATGAAGCCGCTCACAGATGAGGTCTCATTGGGTCTGTTCATGCTTTCGCCTGTGTCGCAGGAACTTAGGATTGTCTTGTGTCTGTAATGGCAGGGGGACCTGTGAGAAAGAGCCCCTTGATGGGCAATTGGCTCAGAATTCTGATGATCTGTGAGGAGTGGCCGTCCTGTTGTTCTAAATCCAATGCAGGGAACCTGATCGGCACCCACTTGGTGGTATCTGGGCACTTGCAGAGACGTTTGAAATGTCACCTGGGTAAATTTAATTTTGCTAACCACATTTAAAACAGGTATCATACATTTATTTGAAGCTGGACCATTTGTGGACCAGAAAAAGCTTATTTTTCTCAGCTTTGGCAAGAAATACTATATTTTACTTGAAAATTTTCACTCATGGTGCCTAGGTCTGATTGAAACCCCTGATACAATTTATTCTTGATTCCTGTCCATTTCCCTATGTGAGCACTCCTGTCAATTGATTGCCTTCTTCCTCTTTCCTTATTCATTTTCACAATATACATGATCCTGAGCCATTCTCTCATTCATTCATTCATTCATTCATTCATTCACATATACACGCGCAAGCCAAATTCTTCTGGAACTTTATTACAATAGCTAGCATTGACAATTGCTGGCATTTCCCAGGAGATGGGAATTGCTAAGGCTCTCCTCCTCTGTGGAGATGCTCATCTTGGTTGGACCTCACTGCTATTGAGGCATTCCATACAAGGACCATTTGATCTCGGGGATTTCTGTTTTGACTTTTTCTTACATCACTGATGTGCCCTTTTCTCTCACCTTGAGATCCCCCCATACCACTTAGACTCAGGGAGGAATCCAGGAATGTGACTGGCCCACAAAAGCTTCTTTATTCTTTTAAAAGTGTTCCCAGCTCAACAGGTAGACACTTTCTTCCAAGCCTGACCATCTCAGATTGCCCCCCCACCACCGGGGTCTACATGGTACCTGGAAAGAACTGAATCCTGCAAAGTCATCCTCAGATTTCCGTGAGCATGTCTCGGCATGAGCGTGCATGAGAGTGCCCCCCCCCCATGAAAGTGTAATAAAAAAGTGTTTCTTCAGGTCTAGGGAGTTAATGCTTGCCTGTGGGCCTGGGCTACACACACACACACACACACACACACACACACACACGCACACAGTGCTATCTTACCTTTTTTGATAAATATGCTGATAAAATCACTTGTCTGAGATCTATAAATAGCCCAGCAATCAGAAATAGCCGATTTGGCTGGAAGCACCAGCCAAGGAGTGATCACCTCAGGTCATGTTTTGTTTTCTTGTTATGCTCTCTCATCGGATAAATCCACAAAGGACCTTCTGAGACATATGCAAAACCATTTAAACTTCACTCTGCTGTCGGGATTTTTCTTGTCCCTGATGTGATTTGAATTTACAAAAGTGAAATGACAAAGTTAAGAAACTTTCTGTACTCCTGGGACTATGTCCCCATGATCCAATTATTCTGAAATCCCTCCAGAAATATCTTCCTCCTACCTGAGCTGTTGGAAAGCGCTGGAGAAGAAGGGTCATCCTGGCCCTGTTGTGAGAACTCTCAGTGCATACTGTAATAGTCTGGGGACATGTGGAACTCACACATTGCAAAAGGAAAATCCTTGTGGCTTGAGATCTTTGGCTGTTTGCAAATCCAAGAGCTCAGTTCTGTACAGAGGGCTCTCCAACGTTCCTTCTTTACTGGACCCAATCACAGAAATTGGAAGCTCCTGCCATAGTCCAGGTCTTAAAGGGCATAAGAGGAGCCATAAATAAACCTGGTCATGGTTCTGACATTTGCTGCCAAACCTGATGACCTGTATTTGATCCGCAGGACCAAATTGTGGAAGGAGAGAATTGCAAGTTACCCTCTGACCTCCATGTGTGGTGCACATGTACAGGGCTACACCCCTGCACATACATACACATTAAATAAATAAATAAATAAATAAATAAATAAATGCAATTACATTTTAAGATGAATAAAAATAAATACATTTTAAGAGAAAAATTAAAATTCATATCATGTGTGCCTTTCTAAGGGTGAGAACTGGAATTGTCCAGTACATTATAGGTCCTCCATCTTGTTCTGTCTCCTCACTCCAGTACTATGGAAACGCCTCATTCCCCTCCTGAAATAGATTTCCTCCAGGGCGATGACTACTGACTTCGATAGAAGCTATTCACTTCTGAGCAGACTCCCATGATTACCCACCCTCCCGTGAGCCAACAGCACCCAGGTATTGTCAAGGGCCCAGTACGATTAAAGCTCCATGGTGGTTGACTTTAAGTTTGTTCAGTTGAGTCTGGTCCAATCAGGTGAGAAATTATATTTATTGAATGGAAAGTGTTCCATATACCAAAGGGCTGCCACAAGGATCTGAGAGTGGCCCCTGGGAACAGTCAGCAAAACAACTGGGTCCTCAGACTGCCAACAAGAGAACCTGCACCCCAGACTACCAAAAAGAGAACCTGAATTCCTGACTACCCACAAGAGAACCTGAATTTCTGACTACCAACAAGAGAACCTGCACCTCAGACTACCAACAAGAGAACCTGCATCCCAGACTACCAACAAGAGTACCTGAATTCCAGACTACCAATAAGAGAACCTGAATTCCACCAACAGTCCAAATGAGCTTGGAAGAGGATTTTTTTTAAAGTTCCCAACTACTCTTATCCAATTTATTATCTATCCGAATTTATAGATAATAGTTGGGGGTTGTTTTAAACTGTTAACTTAGTGTTATGGAACAAAGGAAGATTATTAATCTGTTCTTGATTCTTTCATGACTCTACTACTGACAAAAACATCAGTGTAAATGAATCATTCCATTGAAAAATGAAGCAATAATTGCAAGCCCAGCTTGCTAAGAAAAGGGAAAGTCTGCTTTTGTGTGAGAGAAACTCATCTGAAAACATAAATTCAGAGTTTCAATAGCCCTTTTTGTGGAAGCCAGGCAAGGCTGTGTGATCAGGGACCAGACATCTGGTGTGGGAGAACGGTAGAGGAATGGCTCATTTCACATTCTCTGCTTCTCAGCTTTCTTTCATTCCCCTCCCCTCCTAGAGACAAAGGAGAGCAGAGCACTGTGTGGGGTTGAGTGAGCACCCTCAGCCAGTCCATCAGTAAGCAAGAGAGAGGGGAAGGGACTCAGGGCATGGTTAAGATAAGACCAGCGCAAAAAGACTGTAGGCCAGGCCATCTGAGGCATCTTCAAGTCAATCAACCCAGTCAGCAGGGCTCTGTAGAAGAGAGCCCCACACAGACCTGCCTCTGGTGTCCCCAGGCTGGTTTGCCTCCTCTGTGTGGAGGACAGTTGTCTGATTTTAGAATCCTGTGAACTCTTTACACTATGTCATAGACTAGACTCCTACCTTTTAAACATTTTCTTCCATTTGTTGGTTTATCCTTTCTTTTTGGTGGAACACATTCTTGAATAGCTTCTTGAGAAAAATATATTGAAGACCTTGTATGTCTGAGCATATTTTATTAAGTCTTTATAAATGCCTAATATTTTGATGTGTGTAATAGTCAGGGCTCTCCAAAAAACAAAACCAACTCAACTCTGTGTGTGTGTGTGTGTGTGTGTGTGTGTGTGTAGTAGAGAACTAACTCAGGTGATCATATGATTGTGAAGGCTGGCAAGTCCCTCCTCATGTTATTTAACAGGCTGGATACCCAAGAACAACTTCTGAGGCCGTTCACAAAGCTCATGTCCCAACTCTAAGGAGGTGTTCCCTCTTGTTCCTCTTTTTTCTTCTATTGTGGCCTTCATCTGATTGTATAATGCCCACACAAATTAGGGAGGGCAACCTGCTTTATTCAGTTTACCTACTCAGATGTGGTTAATTTCATCTAGAAACACCACACAGATAAATCTAGAATAACACTTGACCAAACAGCCCAGCACCCATGCTCCTTCAGTCACATTTCAATGAGATAAGAGATTCTAGAAACTTTACAGAGAACATCTTCCTTCTGAATCAGAAGATATGGCTGGCACAAGGTGAAAGACATTCTGTGCTGGCACAAAGTGAGAGGCCACTCTGATACTTGATGGGTGGGTGTGGCTGTTGTTTTTACCCTTTGGAAGCACAAGGTTCCCATGATCTCATTTTTGCCTGCTGTCCTTCAGCCCAGAGTCCTGGTTTTCCTTCCTACAGAACAAACTTTTTGTTGGGGTGGATGCTCAGTGTCATGGAAGGGCATGGTCTCCCATTTGCCACCTAGTCCTTTATTTTGCTAGCACCATCTTTCCTCAGGATAATGGTAGTTGGTGCAGAAAATCCTCTTTGTCATCAGTCTCATTGCTGTTCAGGATTCCAGGTTCTGTCTGGGGATCTGACTCTATCAGATCTAGGATGGTTGACACTGTCCATGTTCTTTTTACGAATCATCACTGCTGACAGTTTTCTTTACTTTAGCCTCGTGGATTTCATCGGGAAGGGAGGAAGGGAGAGAGAAAGGGAGGGAGGAGGGAGGAAAATGGAAGGAAGGAAGGACGGAAGGAAGGAAGGAGGAAAGGAAGGAGGAAAGGAAGACTTTCATGGGTTTAAGAGAGAGAAAATTTAGATGCTTCAGTCCTGGTTACATGAAATTTCTAGTGATCTATATTATTTTCTTGTTTATTTTAGTATTGTTTGTTATGTATTTCTTCTTGCTAGAATATCATTTCCACAGAGGTAGGGTCGTCACAATGCTGAGAGTCCTGAGTCTGGCCCTTGACTCAGGGCATTAGGGCTTATAAGTATGATTGTAGTGGTTGATACTGACTACAATCTGATGGGCTCTAAAACCACCTAGGAGATAAATCCATAGGTACACTTGTGAGAACCAGATGAGGTTGACTGAGGCAGGAAGACCCGTCTTAACTCTGGGCAGTGCCATCCCACGGGCAGGGTGCACAGACTGAATGAAAAGCAGAAAGCAAACTGAGAGGCAGCCTTGCTCTCTCTCTGCCTCCTCACACCCCTGGTGCCATGTCTTCCTCACTGTGATGGACTGTACCCTCAATCTGTGAGCC